TGCCCTCAATGAAATATGATCATGCTATTAAGATAACATCAATTATCTTTTGGCAAAATTGAATAAAATCAAAGAATATCATGTTATCTATATCCTCTTTGAATGTAGCATGGTTCGTGGCATCGGGATGAAATGAATGTATTCGCTCCGTAACCTTACCTACATACGAAATTAAATCTTGATCTTTTCATAGAGATTAATTCTCACACTAGATGGAAAACGAGGACAGTCACCCACTTTACGTCATCGAGTGGAGTAGCTTGTTCTGATAATCCAAAATATTTCATCAAGTATCAACAAACATTATATTTATATTGCAAAATGAATCACATCCAAGCTTATATGTACATTAAAATAGATTATTAATCAAGACACGGGAAAACTATTAGAGATTGTAAGAAAGACATCACCACTCACGTTTCAAAAATTTCACTAACTCGTCATATTTCAAGATTTGAGTATCACATACACCCACGACCACTTTTTGAGCTATATCTCGTCTAACATGAGGTTGATATACCTAAAATGCTTTTGTAGAGAAAAAAAGTTCATTTTTCTAAAATTAATTACAATTTAATTTGTTCGCTTTAATAATTAAATACACATACTTGTGGAAATTTAGAGTTGTTTGGCACAACTTATTTGAAATTCAATTTTTTTAAAACTCATTTTCAATCTTACATTCTCTCAATAAATAATTTTTCACGTGAACTCATAACTTTTCACTCATTATCTACACATTCTTTAAAAAAAAAACCTTTTTCACTTTAAATCATTTCTCCTAAAGAAACTCTTAAACATAAAATTTGTTTACTAATTTTATAATAAATGATTTAAAGTTTTTAATTACTTACATATATTATGTATACATAGTTTAAATATTAATAATTTAAGCTCAAATAAAAACTCATACTTACAGATGTATAACCTAGATTAGAAGTTACATATGAACATGGGGGTGGGGGTGGGGGGGGGGGTTAAATAAAAATTTAAAGTAAAATATAGCTTAAACATTGCATGCGAATGTTCACCAAAACATTCTAAACCTTCTATTTTTTTTTTTTTATTAAATTATGATCATGCAATATAAGTAAAGATATATTATTAAAATTTAAACTACGTCGAACAATCTCTGTATATGTCATGCCAATTTATATTTTCTTTTAGTTCTTAATAAGAAATTAAAATGGCAAATTCTCATAGAAAAATTCACATTTTCCTTCGCCAGGGCATTTTAGATGATATATATATGACTCAAAAAGTGATCAGAGATGTATGTGACACTCAAATCTTGAAATATGGAAAGTTAGTAATATTTTTGAAACGCGAAGAGTGCCTTTGATATTCTCGAAAAGGTGAAGGGTGTTTTTATTATTGTCTCAATTTTTTTTTTTTTTTAATATAAAAGAGCTTTTATACTGTATTGTTCCACGATTCTAGCAGTTCATCTTCCTCTACTGCACAATAGCTTATTTTCGTACTCTCTTTCTTATCTGTAATTAGTACGTCTCTTTCACCACATAGTTAATTCCATTAATCAACAGATTTACGAGCAACAGTCTCTTTCATACTCTCTTTCTTATCTGTAATTAGAAAGTCAATCAGATTCACCAACAATAGTTGATTAACATGTTCATTTTAAAATTCATTCTCTCTGATATAGGACGGTGTTAATAATTCTCCACAATGGTCGGTTACTTAATGTGCACCCTCCCAGAGCGTCGACCCCTAAAAGGCGCTCTACACTCACATAGACCTTCTACCAACATAGGTCGTCTACCATCATGAGGCCATTGACCAAGATGTTGATCCCCCTGAGGCACTCTACGATCATATAGGCCGTCTATCATTACGAGGCTGTCGACCCCCACTATACTTAGCCAAATAAATGGTCCTGAGATAGTCGAAAACCACCAAACAACAAACGCGGGAATAACCAACCGCTAGACGAGTAGGGGTTGACGCTATAGAACGTGGCGGAGTGGGAAGATACACGTGGGAAACGTGGCACAACAAATCATGAAACATGGGCGTGCCATCAGGTGCCTATAAATACCACAATGTGGGAAAAGGTATGGACTCTTGAAACCCGAACTGTCTGAATTCCAATATTATCTCTCCATATTCTTCAATACTGAACACTAATTCTCACGCCGGAGGTATAACGGGGGAGAGAGCCCTGGCCTCATTTTGCAGGTAATAAATACCGAATTGAGCAATCGGAACACCAGTTACATCCGGGAGAACACCTCACTATTATTTCACTCTCTAATATTCATTCAACGCTTAATGTTCAACTCTTTGATTTCAGATTTCATCTTGTGATTTCTGAGCAGTTAAAATTAACAAGTTGATCTTTTCTCCAACAGACTCATATGTATATATATTTCACTCATTTGAAACCAAAGAAATCCCTCATTAGCAAACCAAGTTTTATTCCAAGGAGAACACCTAATCTTTTAAGTTTCTGAAACCTCCCCAAGTACACGTATGTACGTACATACATACGTACATATATAGTCTTCAATTATCATTCTATTAATTACCTATGTCGATCTCAATTGAAGCTTTGGCAATGTCAGGAGCAGATTACCATAATATTACCGTATATTTCCATGATCTCGAACAGGCAGACTTTGAGCTGTCACCACCTCATTTGTTGTATGAAAATGAGGATGACGAGGAACAAGCCTGGAGAACAAAATTCTGCAGCCTCTCCGTTAGACCTCGTTTGCATAATCTCCAGAATCAATCAGAAACTTCTCAAAGTGGAAAGAAAATCATCACTAATTAAGGGGGATATTAGAGAATCATTGATCAATTTACGTAGTGCATTGTTTATTTACGCATAATTCTTCAATTATTTCAGACCAGGAATGCAGCTTGCATTTACTTGTTCTTTATTGTAGGGAGGGGGATTCGTTAGTTGTTTTTATTAGAGGAGTTTAAACAAATTCTTTCTCCATGATCCACTTCAAATAAATGTAAAATTGTAGATTTGTTGCCCCCCACGGGCTTGGAACAACGGTAAAGCAGGAGGGTTCTAGCATCGGAGGTTTGAATCCCTACGACAGTTAGATGGCAACATTTATGTTGAAAGACAAATGTCCTGTGGTGGCAAAGTTATGGTGCGTTTTGTCCCTCTGAGGGTTCTGTCCGCACGTCATAAAGGGAGGTCAACGGAAGGAGAACCGCTTCCTGAATGTCCGGTCCAAGTGCATATAAACTGTGACCGCATCCGAATTTACTAGGGGGAAGGCCTAGGGGGAAGGCCATCACTCCTCAGAATTAGTCGGGCGAAACTTGGACAGTTGAGTCATAAAAACAAAATAGTAGATTTGTTGTTTGAAATGCATCTTTTGAGATTTCAAGAAATGTACTGTTTTCATGTAAAATTGAGATTTGGCCATTAACAGTTGTACTGTAAAATGAAATTCTATACTGATTTCCTATATATTGGATAGGCATAATTAATAAGACTACTGCTCGTAGAATTTTCTTAGTACGTACTAAACATGCATGTCCAAAAGATACAAATGATCTCACCTCAAGTTACATTGCTCATTTGCTTCCTAGTATTGACATCGCATGTTATATATGTTTATTTCATGTTGGTCGTCTGACTTCAATTTTTTTTTTTCATTGTTATAATCCTACTTACATTGTTTTAGTAGACTGTTCAACCTAAAGTAATGCTATCCAATGTCACATAAATTGATGTTAAGTACCAATCAAACTCAATAACATTTTTTTTCATCTATAATAGTTGTGGTAAAAAAGGTGGGAAATTCCATATGATTGATAGAATGCACGACATTGTAGTTATTCTTAGATTAAATAGCAGTTTTTGCCAACAATAAAGTGAGATAAGTGATTATGAACACTAAATGAACAAGCATCGTACATACATATGAGTCGTGTGGGGGCTAACCATTGGTTTTGGTCACTTTACCAAACACCGTGGTTAAACTGGGTAAATTTGTAGTATGCTTAAATTGAAAAAAATTAAAATTGAATATTAGCACAAAACAAATATATATGTTTGGTGATCTCAAAAAACAAGATTACAAATCATTCTCGAAGAGGCAAAGTGAAACTATCTTGATGGAAAATTTAAAAGCCATACAAAGTGTTGATCTTCGAATTTGGTTGGTATCGAGTACATCAAAAAATCCCACCTCCACTGTCCTTTGCTTTGGACCAGACTGCATATAATTGTATGAAAATTTTAGAAATTTATTTTTCTCTTATAATTTAATCGAATTTCATAGTTAATCATACGAAAAAAATATTAATTAACCTATCGAATACGAAGGGAAAATAAACTTTTGGTTGGACATATGAAAGTTAATTCAATGTGTAGTCCTTGTTCAACATTGAAAACTCTATGTTAATCCGGATCGTGAAAGGCATTTCATCTGCTAAACTGCATAAAGATTCTGCACGCTTTTCTGCTTCGATACATGAATTTGAGTTTTTAAGGGACAATTTGTTGTCATTTTCAATGTTAAAAACTACCCTCACATTATTGTTGCCATTTTGTTTCTTGATCAGGGGATTTGATGAGCAATCTCTGTGTAACTTAAGACATGCGCTAGTTTGTAGGTCGTAAAGCAAAAATCAAGTATTTTCATGCATTTAGAGAGTCGGAAATCTTGACACGTCATTAATGCTAGTCTGTTTGCAGAGCATGTAGTTTAGGCTATTGGAAATACATATCACAATATGTCTGTCGTTAATCAATTTATCGAATATTTTTATATAATTTATACTCGTATTGTTCTAGCTGTTTATTTTCCTCAGCTGCGTACTCTCTTATTTGCATAATCTCTTTATCTGTAATTAATGCCTCTTTCACTACATTAAAGTATAGTTAATTACGTTTAATCATCCTGAAACCAAAGCTACGGAGAATATGCTACAAAAGTATACATCCATTAATCCCACATCGGTTGGAGTCTTGTTGAATGTTGGGTTAGTGAGCTACATAATGGAAAGGTATGACAACAAGCTCCATACTTACCTGGACGGGGTCAATGGATGATCAAGAAGGCCCATGGCCTAGATTGGCAACCTCCATTGCACTTAGGAGGGGTGCCCGTCTAAGGTCGGCCCAAGTGGTCGAGCCTACGTCATAATATGTGGTAGAGGGGGCCTGCGTTAGCGCGGCCCCTGCCCAAGTCAAGTTTAAATTATAAGCCCAATATGGTTCTGTGTAGAAAGATCATTAGAGCTAGTGATGTCGAGCCTACGTCATAATTTGTGTTAGAGGGGGCCTGCGTTCGCGCGGCCCCTGCCCAATTCAAGTATTAAGTTTTATGCCCATTCCAGTGTAGCAGCATTCCCGTTAGGGTTATGTGTAGAAAGCCCATTAGAGCTAGTGAAACTCTTCTTGGTCCGTTAAGAGCAATCTGGCTCCTCTGTTCTTTACAGACCAAAACTGTGCGGTACAGCATTTGATCAGAGAAGATACAGTCAATAGGATTCAAGAGCACTCCTTGATTTACATGTTCATTTTAAAATTCATTCAAGGCTTAACTGTTCAATTCATTGTTTTCAGATTTCATATTTTGATTTTTGAGCCAGTTAAAATACATCTGCAAACAAAAGTTTTATTCCAAGGATAACACCAAATCTTCAGTTACTGAAAATCCCCCAACTATACACACACACGGTTATTCTACAATTATCATTATATTGTCCTTCAAATCTAAGCAGAGGAACAACAATCCAAGGTCTTCATTATTTATATGAGAGACTTGAAGATTGTTAGATTTGAAAACTGGATGCTTAGATCTTCTTATAGAGGTCTCCTGCTAAGGCACTCGCTTTTGACGAAGCACATAATGGTTTTGCAGAGGTGCTTTTGCTTTACTTGTCGTTGTTGAAGCTACACAATATTCATCCAAGTCTAGGCATAAATATTTATATAAGGCATTGGTCTTTGAGGTAGAAGAGGAAGGTGCAGAGGTGATTCATTAATGTAGAGGTGGAGTCCATCATCGAAGCCATAGTACAATAGTCCCATTTCTGAGGTGATATTGGCAAGGCACGAAGACTAGCGAACAGTGGAGGCTATATCATTGAGGCCAAGGTAATAGGTGGAATGAGACACAAGGTGAGGGGACTTGTGCTGATATTGATGATCGTGAATGTTCCCAAGATGATACTATGGCAGCAGGTTATCATAATGATTAGACGTGTAAGGCGTTTCAATTCTGATGCTACCACGTGTGAAGGGCACGATGTGGTTTGAGCGTTCATTTGTATAGCGGTTGGTGCATCGTGGCATTCAATGAACAGGATTAAACGATGTGTTGAATGGTTGTGATCGATCTTGATTTGATCCAACTACTTGGAGTGAAGGAGTCTCGCTTATATAAATATTTAAGGCTCGTTTTGAACCTTTTTTACTTTGCTTTCTCTGCACTCTATATTATACATATAATGGACTTAAAATCATTTATAAACTTTATCAACACATTAAATAAAAATACATCTCACAAACCACAACTCAAATGCAATTTCATTTTAAAACCAATCATCCATTTCAAATAAAAGATTAACATCAGTACAACACAATCAGGATTTCAAAAAAATCACTAATTAATCACAATGCTTCTTGCAGATAGGATATATAAAAGGAACTATTCTCAGAAAGATAGATTGGAATGAAAAAACATTTCATAATCCGTATAAAAGAAAAACAAATTTGTTGCACTATGGTCAGATAACATTGACAACAGTTTTATTCCAAGGAGAATGCCAAAATCTTAAAATCCCCCAAGTACGCATATCCAGAAGATACAAAAGATTTATATGGCACTAGTGGAGCTTAGCACATGTCAAACACCGAACACCCTCAGCTTTCTCGCCATGTAACTTGTCTCCATCACAAAAACCAAGTTAAGGGATTTTTGATGGATCAATCTCCACAACTTCGCCAATGCTCGAGGTCCCTCCATACCTGATACAGTACACCTTCACTTCCTGCTATGGCCATGGTGGCCAAGAAAAATCCATCACTTGCTTATGCATAAACAGCTGAAGAAATCATGAAAATCTTCAAATCATGGCCTCCAAGACCCTCTATCAAAGAGATTGAGGATGCCATATCTGTAATCAACACAGCGGAAGCACAAAAACACCTTCGGTTGGAGGAAATATCTAAGGAAGTGCCCCCACAAGATGTTCTCGAGGAGCTCTTCTCTGCTCTGCAACAAGTAAAGAAGAACATGAGGAAAACAACATTTCAATAGATTCATTCATCCCACATCGATTGGAAACTTAATGAACATTGGATTAGTGGGATATATAACTGGAAGGTAGGTCAAAAAGCTCCATACTTACCTGGACGGGGTCAATGGGTGATCAAGAAGGCCCATGGCCTAGATTGGCGACCTCCATTGCACTTGGGAGGGGCGCCCGTCTAAGGTCGGCCCAAGTGGTCGAGCCTACGTCATAATTTGTGGTAGAGGGGGCCAGCGTTCGCGCGGCCCCTACCGATTCAAGTTTTAAGTTTTGTGAAGATTCTTATTTTGCGACTGTCTTCTCCTCTCGGTACAAGTTACTCACAATGAGGACGGAGAATATAAAAAAAATTGACCAAAACAAATTTTTATTCACGTGATGAGAGGATCCTTGCCTCACTGTTGCATCGTGGTTATACCTTAACAAGTCTGACAGAACAATATTTGTTGACAGAGAAATATATGGTCAATCAGATTCACGAGCACAAGTTTTTGAACATGTTCATTTCAAAATTCATTCAACGCTGAAATATTCAACTCTCTGATTTCAGATTTCATCTTTGTGATTTTTGAGCAGTAAAAATTAACAGGTTGATCTTTTCTTCTACGCCTTGCATATGTGTATATAAACATACATCAGCCCAGGAGAACACCAAATCTTTGAGTTCCTTTAAATCCCCCAAGTATATATAACTACAGTTATTCTTCAATTATCACTATATTAATTACGTATGTCGATCTCAATTGACGCTTTGGCAATGTCAGGAGCAGATTACCGTAATTTTACCATAAATTTTCAAGATCTCAACCGTGCGGATTTTGAGCTGCCACCGCCCTATTTATTATTTGAAAATGATGATGACGACGACGACGACGATGAACAATCATGGAGAATAAATGGCTGCAGCCTCCTATTGGACCTCGTTCGCATAATCTCCAGAAACGTCTCAAGGTGGAAAGAAAACCACCACTAATTAAAGGTGATATCCATGGTGTTTATAGGAAAATATTCTACAGATAGTCATAGATCGATTTATGTATTTTTAATTTTACACGTAATTTTTCAATATTGCAGACCGAGAATGCAGACACATTTACTTGTGCGTTTTGTACATCTGAATTTATCGAAGTCAGATGACGTATTAGAGTGGTTCATACAAATTCTTGTTCTGATTACTGTAAAATGATAGTTTTGTTTGTTTCAAAATCTTTTGTGGACCAAATGTACTGTTTTCATGCTGAGATTTGGTATAGATAAACTATGACAAAATTGTAAGTTGAATACTTAAATAATTAAAAAAAAATTAAACAATTTAGCATTGAACAAATATATAAATTCGGTGATCTCCATTAAAATTTTCTGTACTTATAAATCATGCTTGGAGAGGCATAGTGAAATTACATATCTTGATGGGAAATTTAAACGAAGGATAATTAAATGTTTCAGAGACGTAAATTTATGAATAATGCTACTCGTATATTTACATAATGGTATACATAATGATGAGTTGTGAAAAAGAGAGTGATAACGTTTGTTTTTTGGTTGAAAAAATTCCGACCCAGTCATGTCATACATCACCACATCATGTACATGTAGTACAACCGTTATTCATGCATAGATGTGTTGAGTCATGTTCAACAAATGACCTATTATTCTGCGTAGGAGATAAATATAAATAGATATATTTTTATAAATTTAGACAATATTATTCACCAACGTACTAAAAGAAACAAAAAGTTCTTGTTTATCTCGCTCATACCAACCAATTTAAAAATTTATGCATGTCTTTTGATAAGAAAAATGAAATTGGTCCACACATTGAAGATAAAATTTAAATGATTAAATTAATATAATGTTGTCAAATTCCATGAAGTTTTCCCGTTGATCACTGAACTTTATTCTATTCCAAAAGTAGTAACCCTGCATTATAGCTTTGCATCAAATTGTTGTTCGTAACGTTAAACATTCAATTAACAAACAAACAAAACTTAAACTAAATGGAAAGCATCACTTACCATTTTGGAATAGAATAATTTAAATTTAGCACTACGAATGTTATAGCACTGGTGTAGATATCTTTAAATGATAGGTCATCTTTAGAGCCTGTTTGGACGTTTTAATTCAATCAAAATTCATTTTTTCCGTCAAATCTGGTGGGGGCTACGCTGCAACATGTGAATGAGTGGGTTTATTATTTATGCAACATTTTCCATTTCTACCCCCATTTGTCAACCTTTACTGGAAAAATGGGCAGGAGTGTAGTGGGTAAAATGGGTAAAGGGGAAAGTAGTACAACCTTTTGCTATTCACATGTCAAAACTCAAAAGGCCAGAATATTGAATGCTCAGTTTACTGTGCAACTATCCGAAACATGCTAAAAATGAGGTTAAAAAGGGTATCAAACAAGAGCTAAGGGCCTCTTTGATAGCCCCTTATTTTTTATGAAAGTTGGAATTAAAATTTCGTTTCTTATTTTTGCCATGTTTGATGGCACTTTTTTTCCTTGGAATTGGTTTTCCACATTTGCTAATTTTCTTAGTTTTAGTTGAATTGAAATTTCCACATTTTAGATGGGAATTGAAATTTCATCTTTTTTTTTTTTTTTTGGAATAAAAAAAAATTATATCCCCAATTGTCAAAAAACTTATCCATTTAATTGACAATTTCCATGTAAAATAAAGCCAAACAAACATAAAAAATTTTCCAATTTTTTTTGGCAATTCAAACAAATTATATCCCAAATTGTAAGAAATTATATCCATTTAATTGACAATTTTCATGAAAAACAAAGTCAAACGAACACGGAAAGATAGAAAATTTCAACATTTTTCAGATGGAAAATTATAGGGCTGTCCATGGGTCGGTTCGGTTCGGTTCTGAAGATACCCGAACCGACCCAAAACTTTCGGGTATTTAATAAATGGACCCGTCGGGTCCAAATATAATTATGGAACCGTTCGGGTTCGGTTCCGTTCGGTTCCGTTC